AGCTTGAAATTGCGCTCTATTTAGCTCTCGATAGAGATGTCATTCGACCCCAACCTCTTGCAGTACTGAACTGATAATAGTTTTTTTTTTACAATAATTCTAAGCACATACTTAAAGGGTGTAAAAACTGAGTGCAGATTAGTGTTGCCTTTCTGGTATAATATTTTTTTATATTGAAATTTTGGGTGATTTTTATTGCAGATTGTTTGGATTTTCAAAGACACGTAAAATATAAGTCCAATAAGGCGTACATATGAATAACTATGCGGCCTTGTGTTGTTGCCGTTAGAAGTGCGCTAAGAGTTTGTATTTAAAGGTAAACTCTCGAGAGAATCTAAATAGCTAAATCCGCTGAGAGAGAACTTCCGGAGAAAAATAAAAATGAACCAATAGTCAATCTTGGTTTTGGTACCGATTATGAATCATCCTCTCTCTTGGATCAGAAATTTGGAAACGGCTCTTGTGACCTTTATTGTAGTAGAGTTTCAAAACGTGGTAACTCTTTGGTACTTTTCGTAGCTGTTCTTCAATATATCATGAAAAAATCTCCAAATTAACGTAACCGACTTACAGCTCGAAGGGTATTGATGTGCCTCTTACCAAAATATATAACTTGTGGCGAATTCAATGAAAATTATTAGTGCTACAGGCGAAAAAAGTGAGATTTTCAATCAAATACGCAGTTTCATTTGATTATTTCTTTTCATTATTTAAAAAATTCGATAACGAAGATATATCATTACAGTAAACTTTGAGCCAAAGATAATGAAAATCGGATTAGAAATGTAGAGGCTATGGAGCGCAATCTGCACAAATTATATATTTTTGTAAAGGGCACTTTGTAACTCGTCGTTTACGTCGATACATGATGTCGATTTTTGACAAACAACTGCGAAAAGTACCAAAAAAGAAGGGTATTGTTTTCGTTTTGAACGACTCAAAATTTGCCTATAAAATAATCTTTTAAAGATTTTCACTTTTCGTGTAAGCTATTGTAATTATAATATGTTTTACTATACTTTTATAAATATTCATGTAAAAAAAAGATTAATATCAATGAAGAAAACATGATTCATTTTTAAAGTTTAAAATGTATTAAGAATTTAGAATCATAAATACTATTTTGATATTTTTATACTACGTAAATATATGTAGGCATATTTTTGAAAAATTACCCTTCATTTTGAATCCATATTTATGGTCACCGTATGTATACCCCTATTGTAATAATTTAATTTAATTTAACAGTTGGCAACCCTCTTCACACACCTATATGTTCGAACTAAGAATGTCTAAACACTCTTGCGTTTGACACTTTAACTTGTGTTTAATTTCATTAAATTTAACTTTTCAAACAGTTGGTAACCCTGTCCAAATTTTTCTTTTAAAACTGCAACCTTATTAAATCCTTTCGTCTGACACCCGAAGTGTGAAAGATATTCCATTACCAATTCTCTTAGTTTAAGTAAAATTTTATTTTTCAAATAGGTGGCAACCCTCCTACGCTTATTTTTGAAAAAAAACTGTATTTTCACAGCCATTTCGATTAATACACTTATTTCAAATAATCCATTTCAATTAATTAAATTCAATTCTTAAACAGGTGGAAACCCTTGCAGAAAACCTCAATAATATTCTAAACGTTCAAACAAAATATTTATTAACATTCTTTCATATGACGTTCATATATAAATTTGATTTTTCAAACAGGTGGCAACCCTTTCCAAACTACAATCTTTTTAAGCCTGACATCCACACTGTAATACAAATTAAAAATAAATAATTCCATTTAGTCAACATAAAAAACCAACTCACTTTCGTATTTACATATATGTAGTACTAGATCGCCTTCACCCGCTTCGCTGAGTGTATGCAATTTTTGCGTGCTATCTTGAGTAAAATTTATTTCAAGAAAACTCAATTCAAAAACAGGAGGTTTATAACCCTCTTCAAAATATTTTCAAACTTAAACTTCCTTAAATTTCTTATATAGAGGGGGCGTGGAAACCGAAATTTTTCATACCGAATATCTCTGGATATGTTCATGGTAGAGTACTTGAACTTGGTGTGGAGATATATGAAATCAATCTTATACGCATGGAGAAAAATGGGCTATTTGAAAAGAGGGCGTGGCGCCGTACAAACGTATATATAATTCATCTGTACGTGTGTTTGTGAGTAAAATCCTCCTAAATGCTCGGACGGATATTAACGAAGTTTTTTGTGTGTTTTTGAGTAACTCTCTGGGTAGTGTAGATTCACAAATTCACCCGCCACTTGGCACTGGAGTTAAGTTATTACTAAAAATCTTATTGATGATCCACTTTGGCTAATATTCAAAATATGTGTTGGTAATGGTAAAGGCAATACTATTGCAAAAAAGAGCTGCCACGTGGCGCTGGAATCATTACCAATACGCGCCAAGTTAGAAAGGGTGCCGTGAATGTCAAAATAAATAAACCTGTTGCACCATTGAGAATATCGAATTTTTATGTGCTACGATTGGCCCAATGTATATATGTAAATATTGTTATGCCTTAAAGCTTCATTCGGAGACACCAGGGTTGAGTTGTGCAGGGGTAAATCTCAAATCACCACGTGAAACTTACTTTTAAGGTATTTCGTCTGAAATAAGTCTATGTATATTGGATTTCTGTAGAACAATTAAATTATACGCCTCCATGTCGAAATTGCCACCAACTATACTATAAATTTTTTTTTGGACAGATTTGCTATAGAACCGGATCATTGTTGCCGCCAGGGAGTGAAGAGAAAATGTTCTTTAAATTTATTTCTTTGTGAGATTAACCGTTGTATGAAATGTTACACAATTAGAGAATTTAAAGAACTTCATCACGGACGAAGTTCGCCGGGTCTGCAAGTATTATAATATTTCATTTAAACTAATTAAGTTGAATTTTTAAAAAGGCGGCAACCCGTGTAAATACTTCAATATTATTCAAAACTTTAAATATAAAGGTTTCTTAACAATATTTTGTTTAACAACCATATTTTAATTCTTCAGATGGCTTGCGTATAATTAATTTAAATTTTACTTTTCAAACAGGTGGCAACCTTTTTCGCAATATATTAAACTACAGCGTTTTTAAGCCTCTTGACATCCATTTTTTAATATAATTTTCAAATAAATAACTCCCTTCATTGAAGTTGAATTAGATTTTTTTAAAAGGTGGCAGCCCTTATCCATCAGTAGACAATGATTTTATATATCTCCATACCAAGTTGCAGTAATCTACCAAAAATATTTCCTGAGAAAAGCAGTATGAAAAATTCCGTTTGCATGGGAGGTGCCACGCCCTCGAGCCTAATCGAGATTAAATGTATCCTATATTTTAAGTTGGGATAAATAACAGCAGTGTACTGACATTTGCTGCCAAAAATTGGATCTGCTCACACAACCTCTTGGCTAAATCCTTATCCAATCGTCCTGAAATATACTATCGAGTAATGCAATTGCTTTAAAAAAATGGGAACCATTTTGAAATATGAGTGTTTTTTACTCTCTACAAAATAATTTATACAACCTCACATACGCGGTTTTGCATTTTGTTGATACGCGGTTTTGTATTTCAAAATGGTGCTCTTTTTTACAAAGCAATCGCATTTTTGGCAAGTGTATTTCAGTAGGAATTGATAAAGATTGAGCCAAGAGCTTGTGTGAGCAAATCCAATTTTTGGCAGCAAATGTCAGTTACGCGGTTTTGCCGAATTACGATACGCGGTTTTGTACTTTAAACGACGATATGCATAATTAGTAAAAATATTGTATGGACTAAAAATCTGACACATCTGTCCGATATGTCACGTCCGCTTTCATACTTTTGGTTTTAATTAAAGATTATTTAAAAATGTATTGCAAGATTTGATTACAAAAACATTCTCTAATTCGTTGTATAAATAAATAAAATTAATGAAGGATCATTTCCCTTTCCAATAAAAAAGGACTCATAGTATTCGGTTCAAGTTGTCAAAAGCTATATCCAAGATGAGCGCTGCCTTGCCCGAGGGCAAAGCTCTCTCAAGCCTTCTATACATTATATATTTATGTAATGGGCACGTGCGAAGTAAGAGCTCTTTCTACCCATCGCTGGTTTATACGGATTATTTTTAATACGGTTAATTTTTAATGATCCCATTATCGGAACTAAAAAAATTAGTATGGCACCACCCTTTCGGATAAAAAATCGAAAACGATTCACATGGTCCAAAGTTATGCGGTAAAATACATTAAAAAAAAAATAAAAAAATAAGAAGGCGAATTGATAACTCCATGCTTTTGTTGAAGTCGGTTATGAAGTATTAGATATAGCAAAAAAATTTAGTTTTTCATCGTTTTATACCTCTCTTTCTGTGGTAAGCATACGAAATAAATTGACTGTTCTCCTTTGTAAGAAAATTTATTAATCAACATCTAAAGCAGCCGTGCCCAGCGCAGGGTACTTGTCTACAGAATTCTACGAGCGCAGAGCACTTACATATGGAGTTCTGCCGGCGTTGGAAATGCTTGATCTAAAGCTTAGCAGCAAGTAGAGGGCAAGTAAAGGCAGTAAACCACAAATTTGTATGTTCCCTCTCTAGTGTAATTTTATTATATATGTAAATACATATGTACAAAAATTTTAAGTGAAAAACTTATTACAAGCAAAACATGTGTATATATTTAAATACATTTAAAAAAACTTGCGTACGCACTCAGAAATCGCACAACAGCTTTGCGAAACAGTATACGCAGCACAATCACCTAAATAATCCACTTTCGACACCCAACGCAAATGAGAGTTTGCACAAAATTTTGCAATAATAACTGCTTGACAGTTAACAATTTGTCATATTGTTGTGTACATTAAAGTTTTAAACTTTACTATGCCGGCCAAATGAATATGCACCACTTCATACATGCATACAAGCGTGTACTTGAGAGTGCTTAACAAACCAAATACATATGAATGCATTAATGTGAAAATTTATTTGATACTTACTCGCAACCGCCAGGCTGTTCACACTTGCCATGTGTGGGGTCGCAGCCGGGCCGGCAAATGGCTTCCTCACAATTTACGCCCTGCCAACCGGGTAGGCAAAGTTTCTGCCCCTCCGCACCGCAGGTGTAGTGGCCGAATTGATCGTCGCGCGGTCGACAGAAAGTCGTACATGTCGTGTTGTAGTACGTAACGGCACATTGCACTCTGACCCGATATGTAATGCGAGCATTCTTGCCAATGTGATCCAGCGTCTTCCATTCGGGTGACGGGAGGATCACGCCCGAAAATGCTGTTTCTTCAATTAACCTCTCCGAATCTATGATTTGATGAGACATTGTGTTGCATGGGCGAATGTTGTTAGCATGTTTTTGGTTGTTGGTTTTGTAGTTGTTAATTTTTGTGCAAACGGTTCGATTTCAATATATGTATATTGTGGTGGTTTTGTTTGGTGTTATTGTCGTTTGATTTTCGGTTGCAACGTTTACGATGGCGTTGATGGTTGCAAGGTTTTTTTTCCAAACAATAGTAGAGGTTTGTTGTTGATGCGATTTGTGGTTTTGTTTTTGTTTTTGCATTTCCGCGTGCAAATGTTATTGAAACAGTGTTGTTGTTGTTGTGACGAGTATTGTTTTGAAAGTCAACGTTTAGACGGTGGGCCGCGAAGACAACAAAAGTTCAAAATAGCAATTGTACCGCACGGTGTTTGAGACGCCCAGCAGGCAAACCACCAACGAGGCCACCAGCGAACCAACAGTCGAGCAAACAAGCGTATTGAAATGAGGCATATAACATTGGTTACAACAGCGGCGAGAACAACAACATGGAAAAGAAGAAAACAAAGAAACCCAAATAAATAAAAAACATTGAAACGAAATGTAATGAAATGTAGAAATTGTGTTAGTCCCAAGTCAACTGTCAGCAGTTCGTTGCTTAAGTCTTCCGTTTTTTTTTTGTTAAACTTTCTGTGTGTTTCGGTAGTTTTTGTATGAGTTTATTATTTGTTCTTTGCTACTTTTCGCATTTATACAGTCAGGTTTTATTTTTTTCATTTTTAGAGTAGCACATAAAGTTCGCCGTATTCGGTACATTTTGTAAAGTTTTATTGTTTGTAGCCGCTTGTTGTGGTCATTGTTGTTGTTAAGCCAATTTGAGAATTGTCACCAGCGCCCTCGGTGCGAGCGCTGAGTTAGATTGTCTAATTAAAACTCCCAAATGACGCGTCGAATTGCCACAATTCCACAACAAGAACAGCAACAATAAAAACAACAGTGCAACCGTAAGCAGCAGCACACTGCCATCAGCTGCAGTCCAGGCGAGGAGAGCTTGTGGCTTTTATTGCCGCCACGCCGTCACATTTACCAACACCAACAATTGCAATTTCGTCTCTTGACTTTAGCTATTTCGTTTGTTTTTGCCTTTGTTTTTTTTTTTTACTTTTCAAGCTTAAGTTCGTTTGTGATCGACCATTTAGTAGCTTGTTTTCGCAAGCTAATCGCGTTGTCAAGCAGGCGCTTGCCGTCATTGGTATGGTAGTGTTTTGCCTAGTGCTGGTGCTTTGGAGCCACTGGTGCCTTGGTGGCATTTAAATAGTTGCCGCATAATTACCTGGGTACGATGTGTTGTACATATCTAACGCCTGCAATATCAGCGTAAACGATTTCTGTAGGTGAAATGAAAAAAGAAAAAAAAAAATTAATTAAACTAAATAAACGTATAAACGAGATACGAAAGTACTAATATACAATTGTTTGCAAGTATGTACATATACTTATGTATATGTATGTCTGTATTTATATAAAAGAAACGCTAGTCGGTAGTACTGGGTTAAATGAGGTTAAATTATTTTGTCAATTTGTTGTTTGCTTCAGCTACATTTGCGTGTTTTCCTGACTATTTAGTGTAAAGTTTTTTTTTATTTTTTGCTGTTTTTTTATTGTTTGAACAGCAACAGTAGCCAATTGCCAGTGACGGTAATTGGCATTTACATAGATTCTGGTTTTTTAGAGAATTCCTTTCAACAGAGATGGTGACGCTCAATGTGAAGCTTACTTAAGTTTAGGAAAAGTATAGAAAATTCATTAAGGGGCATAGACAGTAGCTTCAGTAATACATTTGCATACATACCTATATACTAGGCCCGGCCGCAAGGGTGAAAGGGGGGATTTGGGGTTATAAACCCTTTGCGGAGGGAAATATGCACAAAAATTTGCCATCATTTAGTTTAAGACAATAATAGTAACAAATATTTTAAGATCTCAAATATTTAAGATCTCTTTACAGAGATAGTAGCCGAGAGATCTCGATTTAATTTAAACCAGGAAGGTTCTATCACCTTTAGTTTCTCTGCTAGAGCTACTAAAATATTGAAAAAACCGCGATTTTTTCACACCTTGACTTCTTTTTTTCAAAATCTGGAGCTGATGGAAACTTTATGCTTACGAATTCGTAATCAGCACAAAAAAATCAATCAGAAACAGCTTTAACATTCCCGTACCAATTTTTTTTTTATACTTTTGTTGAGCTGTGTTAAACAATAAAAAATTAGCAAAAATTCAGATTTCCCCCTTTTTTTAGAAATTTTTCCTTATGTAGTCTATAACACACTTCGCTACCCTATTTAGTGTTTTGCACTTTGTGAAAAATTTCATGAAAATGCTGAACTTTGGGGCCTTTCCAAACAAAATTGAAAGCACTATATATCATCTATATAATAAACAAGTAAAGAAGTATAAGTTCGGACGAAACCGAACTTTATCTACCCGGCGCAGGTATCGAATATCGTCATTTCAACTTTCTTTAAACTACATTTGCATGATAAGCACGGGGTTTCCCGATTTCAAACTTTTTCGATAATATGCTGACTTAGACTTAATGAAATAATTGAACCAAGTTTGGTAGAAATCTATAAAGTGGTTACCGAGATACACCTTGTAGCCATAAAGTGGGCGGTGCCACACCCAATTCCTAAAGGTCTATAGCAGTCTTATTTATTGTTAAGAGATTGTTGTAACTATTAACTTGGAGTAAATTAGCGTCCTCAGTTATTGAAATTCGGATGTCTGAAATTTACCGTTATACGGGAAGTGGGTGTAATTTTAGTTCGATTTGAATAATTTTCAACGAATTTCTTTCTTGTGCTAAGATTATTGAGTGCACCGAGTTTGGTGGAAATTGATAAAGCGGTCACCGAGATGCACATTTTTAGTCATAAGTGGGCGGCGCCACGCCTATTATCCAAAAACTTATAATATTATAATTTCCTGCTAAGTGGTTATTGCAATCATCGATTTTGAGTCAATTAGCTCCAGTAGTTACTAATTTATCGCAGTTTTCGTGTTTCTGTAAATTACCGTTATATGGGAGGTGGGCGTGGTTATTGCCCGATTTCAAAGATTTCTTAGCCAGGTCCTAGGAAAGGCTCACACTGAGTTTGGTACGGATTGGTGAAGCGGCTAATGAGATACAGCATTTTATCATAAGTGGGCGTGGTCGCGCCCATTTTCCAAAAATTTCTTATTAATACTATTTTCTACCAAAATTCTGCTTCACATGCTAATTTTCAACAATTTGGATCCAATATTTACTGAAACATCACAGTTTTTGCATTTTTCGAGAATACCGTTATATGGGAAGTGGGCGTGGTTACAGTCCGATTTCGCCTATTTGCACTGACGACCTACCTCGGTTAAAGGGAAATCCACGTACCGAATTTCGTTTGGATATCTCAATTTTTACTCGAGTTGTCGTGTACACGGACGGACGGACAGACGGACTAACAGACACGGCTTAATCGACTTCTCTTTCATTCTGATCATTTATGTGTACATTTCGTTTTGGCTGTTACAAACAACCGTTATGTGAACGAAATTATAATACCCTTGGGCACATGCACGCTCGGGTATAACAATGCTGAAAATGAAGATGAAAAATAAAATTTTCTCAAGTGTTTGAAAATTTTTATTACAGTGTGTGTTGGGACAAGTCGAAGCAACATGAGTTGGTTACTTCAACGGTTGCCGCTTGTGTAGTTTAAGTTTGATGGATTTCGCCGACCTAAACGGGTTAGATTGCCGAAACAACAGCCCTTGGTCGGGTAAAACCCGAGTCATTCCGGTACGTAGAATCGCATATAATAAATATCGCGAAATTTCTTTGGGACTCTATATGTTTTAGTGGTCCAATATTATGGGTCCAGATAAATGATTAACCCTTTACCACCCGACATACACACGCGTCACAGATTCCGTGAGCTTTATAACTCTAAGCTTCGCAATAACTTCCACCTTGTCTAGGCCTTGTCCTAACTACCGCGCAACGACTCTCAGTGTAGCGACTGCACTCAAAAGTATTAAATTTCGATGGCGACTTTCTCTCATCTGTTTAATGGATTAAATCTATTTTATCTGAAATTTAACGTGTTAGGAAATATTTCGAGAGTGGATTGGCTGCAAAAATCTTGGCCAGGATATTTTTAAATAATTATTCAAAAATTATTATTATTTTTTTAATTTTTCATCCATTTGTTTAATGAATAAATTACATATATACCAATCGAAAGCATAAATTACTAGCATTACCTACCTGTTCATACCTGGCCACCCGATAGGTAGGCCAGGAAAAAAATAGACAACCCAACGTGCTCACATTCTCTAGGCTTAATGCTTTAGGTTGCTTTAAGCCGGAACTCCATAGATCCGTTGTCATGCGCTTATGTGCATAAAAACGGAGCAACTCCATAGTGTGCGCTTACAAGCGTTTGACATTTGTCATTTCGACAAGTTGATGCATCATACATACACACTTTAATACATATTTATAAAGAAAATGCTTGCCAAGCCGCAAAAATTCTCTGCCAAGATATGTATAGGGATTTATATATACCCAAACATGTAGTGTAATCACCTTAAAGTTGGTGGTCTACGCAAGCAAATGCATGAATGTTGAGAAAATTCAACCTTGTGCGCATTCGAATTCATGTTCGAATTTTTTTCCGTTCTCTGCGTTTACGCGCTTACTTATGGAGTTCATCCCATAAGAACATGTGTATAAATACAACTCAACTGTGAAACGCACGCATACGTATACGCACGCATACGCTTGCCTATGGAGTTCCAGCTTCAGCGTGAAAACATTGACTGCATGATGGCGTTGCACTTGCAAAAACTGACCAACCTCGTTGTCGTGATAGTCGAAATCAGTGTTGCCGCCGCTCAAAGAACTTTCTAACCAAGATTTGACGAAAAAGTTACCAAATGTAAGGAAAAATAACCATTTTTTTTATTAGATTAACAACTCAGGTAATCACAAACTCTTTTATATAGTACGTATAGACAAATTTTACAAACCAAAGAAAATCAATTTTTATTTGCATTTTTGAAAAGTAAATCCTTTTAAGGCTGAAAATAAATGAAATACATTCATATATAAGTATATATATATAAATACATATTTTAGAAAATCAGGCTTCCCGTATTAGGTACATATTTATGTTAATATCTTTGTAACATTACCAGACTCTAAATGACGTTTTTAAATCAGTACATAGGTACACAGTTTCCAACTTCTTTGTAAGAATCAATGAAATACCTAATCAGCGTGAACAACCACATTGTAAATATTTTTTAATTAAGATTAAACAATTAAAAATTGGACTGCATTGAACTATATCGTCGCTCAGCGCGAAGTACCTCGTATACGCCAAACGCAGTACCGCGTATACGATGGTAACTAAATTTTACAAAAGCGCGAAAAACCGATTTTTTCAAAACTGTGGAATGGTATTTCCCTTGAACCTACTTGCTGTAAGATTATTATTATTAATCTTAACTTAAATTAATAAAGTAAGCAGTAATGGAAAAATTATTACCAAATCCCTTTTTTATTGTACATATGTGACGTGGTATAGGATTCCGCATATACGAGGTATTTATATATGTACTATCTGAGTATGTATTCATTTGAAGTAGTCTTTAGTCGACCATGTATATTCTGTATTCTATATATTATAAAACAAATACATACATATGTAAGTAATATTAATACAATGGCCCTAGTCATAGTCAAAATAAAGTCGACTTTAAAGTTAGTTGCAGCTTTTTGACATAATTTTCAATGGGATATCTGTCAAAAAAGCTGCAACTAACTTTAAAGTCGACTTTATTTTGACTATGACTACGGGCCAATGATTCTAAATATTCTCACTTGGTTTCACTGCTGGGGCTGCCACTGCTGCTGCTACTCTCCTCAACCTCGACAGGTGTTGCTGGCCTATGTCTTATAACGAACCTAATTGAAAAGTTTTTTGGAAATACATATTATGCAAAATAAAACCAAAATTTTGTATTTTTTCTCACTTATCCATAGAATTGAGCCCGTATAAATTAACTTGAAACACCAATTTTGCGCGGAATTCTAATCATTTTTTGCGGCTTTTTAATGACTCTCGTATTATTCAAATGTCATTTCAGGCACATACATATTATGTAGGTGTGTGCAAAGAACAAAGAAACGGTGTAACTGCGGGGCCGTTTCAAAAGCTTGGCGATTAATTCACCGCGATTTATTAAAGATACGACCCGACAAGAAATGACTCGTTACAATTATAACGTGTTGTCTCTTCTTATAGATTTACGTTCTTTGGACCCGATAATAGTTGCACCC